TTAGAAGCATGCTCCATTTGATTCATAAAATAGCTTTGGGTGATAATAAGCCACTGAAACGTACAGACAGAAGAGACTGTAGTTATCACATATTATGAGTATCCTCCTTCAAAAAGTGAAGATGCATCATTTGAAAAATGTAACTGGATCTATGCTCACATTGAAATCTAGGGAACTGTTCTAATTGACATGGGCCAGTTTTTACACTAACAAAGAACTGGTATAGCTCTGCATTGTTCCCACAAGGACAATTTTCTTGGAACACTGGGCTGCAAAATATCTCGCAAAGCTGCTTGCTCTCGACTGTGGCCTTCAGTAGGTCCTATTCCTGGACTGATAGATTCTATAGATCATTTGCAACTTGAAGAAATGGTTTCCTGCTCCATAGAACATTTGAGCACTTTTAATATAATTTTTTTTGGACAAAGCCTGGTAAGGCAAACTACTTTCTTTGAGTGGCAGCAAGTGATAATTGTGATGTTAAAAGTGGAATGATAATGTATGTTCTTGCCTTCCTTCCTTCCCATTCATTGGTTCTACTTGATTTTTCTTGAGCATTTCCCAAATAAATAAATAATTATCTCAGACCAAATAGTATGATGTAGGAACCTAAGCTGTGGTGGCAGAGCTGTTTTTATTTCCAACACATGAAGTTCTTTGCATATTGATAGATCAGAGACACTGAGTTTCTGGAAGATGGGAATGGAAGGAATTTATCCTTATACCATAGTAGATCATGTGGTCATTTTCCCCAGGTGCAAGTACTAGGACCTGGGGACACTGAAGCACTAAGTGTTAGCTTCCGGACTGACTCAGACACAGACACATGAACTCTCAAAGTGCAGAGGAAGCACTGACTCTCCCAACTTGCTCTATAACTTTGTAAATTTTAAATGCAATTCAAAGTGTAGATTTTCAGGAAATTCTCCCTCTCTAAAAGCTTATAGCAATGCACATGAATTGAAAAGTTTTTTTTTTTTTACTTATTAAAATTGCATTAAATGTGTGATGGGAAGAACTTTGGCAAATCAGTCTTTCTTTGAATATGTGCCCAGGGTCTAGAATCATATTTTCATATACTTGAGTCAAGAGGTTCTTTTAATGATTGATATATTTAATTTTAATGGCTTCTGAGTGCTTAGAATTCCTTTAAAATGCATATGCAGCATTTATTTAATGTTATTTGAAAAGTTCTCTATTTGAGGATGCACCTTCAATCTAGCTTCAATTCACTTTTCATAATCCTGAAATCTCAGTGTCAAGTGTCCTTATGTTTGTAGTTCAAGTTCCTAAGAAACAATAATATTGGTTGAATTAAGTTGAGCTTGACTCATCTGTCTCCTCTTTTTTTTAATTTTTAATTTTTTGACAGGCAGAGTTAGACAGTGAGAGAGAGAGAGAGAGACAGAAAGGTCTTCTTTTTCCGTTGATTCACACCCCCAATGGCTGCTATGGCCTTGTGTTGCGGCTGGCACGCTGTGCCAATCCGAAGCCCAGAGCCAGGTGCTTCCTCCTGGTCTCCCATGCGGGTGCAGGTCCCAAGTACTTGGGCCATCCTCCACTGCCTTCCTGGGCCACAGCAAAGAGTTGGACTGGAAGAGGAGCAACCGGGACAGAATCCGGCACCCCAACCGGGACTAGAACCTGGGGTGCCACCAACGGCAAAGGAAGACCTTTCTCTCTGTCTCTCTCTCTCACTGTCCACTCTGCCTGTCAAAAAAAAAAAAAAAATAATAATGACAAGAACTTGAACATTCACCACACACTAGCATGAAGCTATTGGCCATTGGTTTTGAACAGTTAGTAATGTACATAATCTCTTGTCTCTTTAATATTTCGATGACAGTGAAGAAGTGATATGAAATTATTTCTAATTAAATTTAACTGGTTCCAGGATAGATGTTCGGAAGTTGGATGTTTTAGTTGATTTTTGCTTTGGACCTTAATATAACTGTCTAAAATACAAGCTGCATGTCCTGTTCTGAAGCATCTCAAACCAGGAAAAATACAGTGGTGAGGGTTGCAGTGGCCTAGGCATTCATGAAGTTTAATGTTTGTTTCTCCCATCCCCAAGCCCAAGCAACATGACCTGTGAGAAAGAAGTAGGTTAAGAAAATAGGCAAGAATCTTGAGGTTTTTACAATAGCAGTGAGGATTCCTTAAGAAATCTGTTTTTGTTGGTGAGTATGTTGGTGTTTTATGTTGGTTATTATGAGTGATTTCAAGAATTGCACAACCATAGCTGGGGAATGTGTGGTCAATTGAGAAACCCGTGAGCTTAGACTATAATGTCCTGTCATTGGGTTGTTTTGGCTAGAACTCTCCAAAGTTTGTAATATTCCAAGAAATACTATCAACTTCTTCAAGTGAAATGACTGAAACTGGAAAAATTTCTAGTGGGCCATCTCATCTTGATAACTGTCAATATATGTTTGTATAAACTGATTGTCTTAGCTTTATGAAAGATACAGCACACATCTTGGTGTTTTAATTGCATTCTCAATGAAACATTTAATTTAAGCATTACCAGGAAGCTCTTGTTTTCAGCTTCCAGACATGAAGGTCCATTTAACTTAGGGTTTTGAATGCTTTATGATAACTGTAGTCAGTGGGTCTTTTGGGAGATACTTTTTATATTAACTACACTTAACTACCAGGCTTTGTATCTATGCTTCTGAATTTCAACTTTTGCCTGGATCCTGAGATGAAAAGGGCATGCCATGAAACTCTGGGAACAGCATTTTGTAGGCATCTTTAGAGTAATATTAGATAAGCTAAGGGAGCCTTTTTCAATAATGAAATTTGCATGGGAATGGATACCAGTTCTGGCAACACAAATCACAATATCTAAGGAAATGAATATCCTCTCTCAACTGAAAGTTGCTTTTTAATTTATTTTAAAACTGACAACCTCCTATTTCGATGTTGAGAAAAGCTTCAAATGACCAAATTAAGAGTCCTTTTTCCAATGGCCGCATTGGAAGACAATGCAGTCACCATGCCCTGCAGACTGCTCCTGCCTTCTCAAATGAGGTCCTCCGCAGGATTTTGTGCCAGAAGTGATCAGAGATGGCTCCCAGTGAATTTATCATATTTTCTTTGTTTTGACACTGCTGGTTTTCATTTAATTAACACTACAAAGAGGGAGCAATTGCTTCCTCCTAGGCCACGTCTCTTATATACATCGTCTCCTTTGATCCTCACCATACTCTCATAAGGTTGCTATTACTATCTATGCTTAGAAGAAGACTGAAGCTAGGGGAGCATAAACATACTGCTCAAAACCACAAAGTCAAAAGAAATTTATGATGGGCAATGAGATGTGGATCTGGATGACCTTAAGGTTCACGCTTTTAGTCTCTTTGCTAAGCTCTTTTATTAAATGTCATCAAATTGTTATGGTAGTTCCAGAATATTGCAAGATTTAAAACAAATTTATGATGAAAGCCATTCTGAGGGCACTCTGCTCCTCCCCACAATGGGGCCGTTGTTAGCTGGGTCCTGGAAAATCACTCCCACCATCTGAGCCTCATCTCCCTCTTCTTTCCTTTCTAGTGATTGGCAGTGAAAGAATGATGCAGGAAGAAAATAACAGTGCAGGTGGTAACTGAAAGATGAAAGGCCACGGACTACTGGGGATCTCACCAACTTCAATTTTCCCCAGGAAATAATGAGATGAAGAAGCAACACTTTGACTTCACAGCTCCAGTCTGCATTCCTGGGATACAAGTCTAGGAAGAAAGGATATTCTAAAGGGCAAAGGTGAAATAGGAAGAACGAATAAAGAAGAACCTTGCATTTTCTTTTATCTTTGACTGAGTCAGAGGTGTTACCTCCCTATTTGCCATGGAACTGTAAAGTAGTTGGAGCAAATTCACAATAAAAAAATGGTTTGAATGAAAAGTGTTGACAACACATTTATTATTAACTTTAGTATATTTTGCTTTTAAGATAACCCCTTCATTAAATAATCTAAGTAGTCTAAGAGAAGGCAAGGGAGAAGCTTGTTTACACACAAGACATTTGTAGGAAAAGATGGATCAAATTTTACATTGAGGATAAGTTGCTCTCAATCACACACCATTTAATTCAGACAAAGAGCTGATCATGAAGCAGAAACAATGATTTTTGGGAAAGAATCTTATGAGCAAAAGAAATTCTATGTCATCTTTTGAGAAAACTCATGTTACCATAGCCTATTAAAAGTGAGGAAATTCTTTCCCAATGATTATCTACAAATTTTTCATTCTCTTTTGTTGTGTTTCATTTGTATGATTCATTTTACATGTAGAATCTCCAGGAGTGTATATATGTAAATAGGTTTATTTAACATTCTAATATTTTAAGGCCTTGGTTTTAATTACTTTTATCTGAAAATGTAAGAAAATCATCAAACTTGGTACACATCTATTCTGGAACATAATAGTGGAGATTATTATAGGCAAATATGAGACATCATCACAAGTCAACACTAAAGCATTTAACTTTTTTTTCTCCTATCATGGATACATGAGTTGAGTTCACACCACCATAGATAATTGGATCTGACACAGTGAGTTCAGTTGTTCTGATCCATAACAACTGTCTTTCAGAAATATTACCTGTGGGTGTCTGGTGCATATTGTACCTTGCTGGACTGATGAAGGGACACAAATTTTACAGGTGAGTCTGTTGGCAGCTTATAGACTCAAGAATGCTCAGAAGGAAGCAGATACTTTTTTTTTCTACTTCTATTTTATAGACAACGACAATGCATTTGATTCATTTAATCAATGCTGACAAAAGTTCATAGTGGAAAGCTTTCTGTCATGGGCCATCTGACTTGGTTGTCTACATAGATCAAGTAAAGTGGATGATTGCCAAATCTCTACTGTATTTTACAACAAAGAAACTCTGTCAAAGGGAATTGTCTTAGAGAAACTGCTTAGAGAAGATCAACACATTACAAAGGAAATCTTGACATTTAGCAGAGACCAAAAAGGCCAAAATACTGGTGTGACATTATAAAAACATAATCTGGGAAATATTTTTGGGCTATTGTTAGTATTTCATGTCCAAGTAACTACACAGAATCAAAAAATAGATCACACTTTTTTTATAAGTTCATTTGAGTCTTTTTGTCGTGAGATTAAGCTGATTGGGTATATATATATATTTTAAAAGGTTTAAACTTTTACATTCAACAAAACCTCTGTCATTTTATCATAGTGATTGAAAAGGTCTGAGTATTCTGAGCTGTTAAAAAATTAAAGTGTAAGTGGAGCATGCAGTGTGGAGAAACCACTACGGAATGAAGAGTATATTTGAATGCTTGACTTCCTGCATTGGTGAAGTGGTGAGCTCATTGGCTATTATCTTATGTGAACACTCAGGTGTGAGGGAGAAAGGGAATTTCACAGATGAAACTGGGGAGCCAATCACGGAGACCCTAAGCATGAAAAATGCCCCATTTAAACTCTTGGGAAGCACTTGCGGTGCCTTAGAATCAATCCTGCTGCAGCTGACATATCCATTACTGTGTCTTGAATTATCTTTGTGTTAATTTCTTCCCCTGCAATTGAGAAGTTGGGTAAGGGAGATGTGGTTTCTCTAAACAATACAAAACAAAGAAATCTGGTGAAAATGGTATATCAACCAAATGCTATTAAGGTGGACATTATTGGTCAAAAATAGAATCATGTATTTCCTTTTACAAAAGACTAGAAAGACTTGGACTTTCCACACAGGGTGCTTGGGTCAGAGGTAGCATTTACTTTATGTGTTGCCATGGTGAATTTAACATTAGTTGGTTTTTCTTTGATGAGGTCATTAGTAGTTGCTTGGAAACAAGATTACCTATAGAAGGGTCACTTTCTCTGATGACCCCAATTCACATACCATGGTGTGTGTTGGTCTCATTGGGCATCTTTCTCATGATTATATACACAAGCTGGACTATTAGTATGATGTATTATTTTCCTTCCAGAGCTTGATTTGTGCAGAGTGGAATGGCCAGAGACTAAAGACTCTTGACGACTCACAGGCAGTCACTTTCCTTGGAGACCAGGCCTGCCTACACGCTCTCTGCTTCCACACATACAGTGGCTTCTGAGCTCAGAGATGGTCAGAATGGCATGACACTCAGGGCAGTGGAGTAGTTTCTGCTTCCAGATTTTCTAGCTGAAAAGAGAGAAAAACAGACAGTGACAGTTTCAGAGTTGGTGGCAGCACACATTGAGCATCCCATGGGTGGGAGAGCTCTATCGAGGACCATCAGGTGTACTTTCTCCTGCACCTTCCAAGGTTTTCTAAGCACCAAGATGATAACTAATCTCTTTAGTGATTTCTGGGTAATTATGAACCTGCTCTAGTATTTGTGTCCACTGCTGAAGTATTACATGCTGGGTGTCCTAGAGATGCTATCGATATTTCTTAGGAAAAAAGCTCATTTTAACTCAAGCTGTTTCTTTCCCTCTGCCTTCTGCCTCCTTCTGTTTGTCCTCTCATCAGTTATGATTTGGCTACGATTGTAAATGCAAGGCATTGCCTTTCTTTGAAATAGATTTGTGTTCTTCACTTCTAGGTAGAGATATTTTTACCCCATTCTCATAATTAATGTATTTTTTTCCTGAAGTAACTTCTTTCAAGTTCACCCCTCCCTCATTGTGCCATCAGTTATGACAAGGAGTCTTCAAAATGTTTATGGAAAATTTACGTTATGAGAAAATGATGCATGATTTCATTTTTTGAACCAAAATAAGCTTACTTTTAAATTCTATTTTCAGTGAACCTTTTGAAAATCTCTATGTTAAGTAGCAACATGACACTTGTACATGTGTTTGATGTGGTTTGATTTTTTTCAATTAAGGAGGAAGGCTGTGGAAATGAAACAAGTTCTGTGTGTAACAAGTAGTTGTTGCTATCACCGTTGCCATTTTGGTGAGGAGAAAAGGAGATATTTTTAAATGTGAAGGAATGTGAAATTTAAAAAAAACTTTATTAAAATTATTATTGGTCAATTTCAAATTTCAGGTGAGGTGAAGGAGTTTAAATGGTACAAGGGACTCTGGTCTACTGTCTACCCAGATTCACTTACAGATTAGAGTTACCAAATGTTCTTTATCCTTGGCTTTCTCTTTTGAGTCTCTCTCTTCTACTTGCAACTCACTCACACACACACACACACACACACACATTATCTTTAGAACCCTTTGACATGAAGTTTGCTCTTTCTTCCTAAGGATCTTTTATGTGTTTCATAAAATTGATAATAGGTCAGATCACTGTCACTGTGGGTCAGGAAGTGCTACATAACTTTGCTGATTGTGCCAACAGGCCTCTGACTGACCAATTCTGTAGCTGGTCACACAGGCAATCCAGTATGGGCAGGAATCCACAGCACCATCCACTATATTGCTGTTGTCTCCTGGCAAATATCTGTTTATCATTCCTCCAGGTGTTGAAATTTAGCTTTGGGTCCTCAACTGTGACAGAATCCACTGTGTGTGTAGCCATCACCTGGTTTCATTGCATCACCTTGTGGGATATGGGGGCAAGGAAACTGGTACTACTTGCAAAATTTTGAATGTTTGCTGTGTTGAGTCTCTGTTTGCTTTTGGCATCTCTAGAGTTGAGGCAAGGCAACCTACTGGCTTGGTTCAGTCATCTTCTCTGAAGTTTCATTACCTCTTGCTACTTTCTAATATGCTAAGATTCATCTCAGACAAATCTGCAGAAAGTGCACAGTACCAGGATAGACAATGACTTCTCAGAAGGAGAAAGACCAGAACTCAGGGGCTGGGTTCAGGGAAGTTTGGAAACTCCCTGGTGCTGAAAGCAAATATTCCGGCTTTTGTGATAAAGAAAAGAGTAGTGAGTGGGCCAGTTATGTGCTATCTTTTGAAGATTGTGACTTGGATCAATAGATGGAGGCTGAGAAGAATAAAACCTAACAAGCTGCCAGGATTTCTGCTTGCTTTCCTATGAGATGGGGGATTAGAGGACCACTCTGGGAGGAAGCACAAGTGAAGTCTTGTTCAGTTAAGCTCATGCCTTTCAAATGCTTCTCCTGACACCTGAGAGCCCTCGTGATGCAGGACTGTCCCAGGCTACGCAGAGGTGGCTTCACCAAACCATGTAATAGTGATTCACATCTAGATTAAACCTAAACTAGAGAAACTTGTATCCACTAGTTATACCTGGGAGACAGTAGCCACACATGAACACAGGGGTTACTACTGGCTCATCTTTGACCCACTGTGAAATTGGCAGTGGCCACGTTGTCCTTGTTCAGGCCACAAGTAACAAGGGTTGTCCTACTTGAGGGGTAGAGTGGTGCCATATTTCCGTACACTTGAGTACTGTTCTTTGGTATTAGCGTCCACATTCTAGAGGCATATCAGGATCCTATCCTTAAATTTTGCTATCACAGGTAATGAGATGTAGCGAACCACAGCGATCAGCAGGTCAGTTTGCACTCCTCCCTCATAGTAAATGGATTACAGGTTGGCCTTAGACTACTTTGTGGCTGCACAGGGAAGGTTTGTGTTACTCTCAGCTGCTCATGTTGTGATTGTTGTTAACAGTAACATTATAGAGACACAATCTATGGAAACAATAAATAAGGAAGCTACATGGTTGTATGAAATTAGCCTCTCTGGGACTTAGCTGTTTCCAGGATACTGCACTGCATGATTGATTGATTAACCTCATCTGGTGGATGAGATTCTTTTGATAACAATCCTCACTTATCCAGGATAGTGAATGCAACAGGTTTGGTTCTAGCCCAGTATGTGCTATCCAAATTGCTGATGGGTTGATATAATCATATGAAAATTTAAGTTCATCTAAGAACATACTGGGCTGACAGGTGAATTATTGGGAGAGGTTGTTCACTGATCATCCCCTTCTATTCTTACTGAGGTGAACTCCAAGACCGTACTATCTCCTGACTCTTATTTGTTTCTATAGCTAGCCGCCCAGCCAGGTAAGAACCTCTATTTCTTGACTATAGGAGGACTACAAGATGACCACTTTGTAATTCTTGCTCCCAGGGTAGGAAGATTGGTTTGTTTACTGCTTACTTCCTTAATCCTTGTGGTAGGATCTTCAGTTGTGGTGTAACCCATTCTATGTATAGCAGTAACTGTGACCCTTTGGGTCATGCTGTAAGACATCGATATTGGGTCAATGGAACTGGTGCTATCATGCTGCTGCTCCTACTGTTTGCTGTGCTGTGACAAAGTCTTTTTGCTGGTCTCTGAGTCACTTTGTCTATTTTTGGTAGCTATAGAGTAGTGACAAACCAACCTGGTTGCTTGCTGAATTCCTGCCTTTAGAGACTTGGAACTACCTTCTCTGTCCTAAGAGTGGATTTTCCCCCTGATGGTACCCACAGTAGAGCTCTTTCCATAGATTTGACATGTGACATTGGATAGAATACTTAGATACAGAGATATAACCTTCTAGCACCACTTTTGTCAATTGGTTTTTAAACTGTGATTTTTTTCATATGTTCTTCCTGACTGTGGTAACTAATAAAGCATCTAAAAGGTCATCTATAGAAGTGAAATTGACACTCTGAGATGTGATGACTTTGAGCAGCCCTTGCCTTGACTATTGAGGAACCATTTTTCTTTTAATACTATTTGTTGAGCTATTTACTTAGCAAAGAGTTAATCTTATGTATATAAAGTTATTTGAAAATAGATCTTAGTAAAAAATAAGAATGGGAATAGGAGAGGGAGGAAGAAGAAGGATGGGAGTGCAGATGGGAGGATGGGTACGGTGGGAAGAATCACTATGTTCCTAAAGATTTATTTATGAAATGTGTGAAGTCTGTATATCTTAAATAAAAGATTTCTGGAAAAAATAAACTGTTGTTTTTCCGGAAGGTCAACTAGCAAATCCTTTTGGGTTATTTTTTGGGCTTTATAAAAACAAATAAAATGTTTGAAAAGCTTTCAAGCTTCAAGCAATGCTTATTTGAGGTGATTTTAGTCTCCATCTATATTAAGAATTGTATTCATGTCCTATGGCTTTGGAGCTGGAGAGAATTTAAGAAATTATGCCTTTCAGCATCATCAATCTATGGCTGGAAGCAGAAACCATTAGAAGTGAAGCAATGCGCACAAGTGTGTTGGACAAGGATAGTTTAGTATTTTTATTTTCAGTTAATCTCCTTCACTTTCATTTGCTTTTTCTTACTTGTGATGCTGTATGAGTTAACAGTTGGAACCAATAACAGACTTGGAAACTTCTAAGCTGATTACAGTTTCAGGTAGTTCAAAATCTCATCCATCTCTCTCTCACACACACAGACACACATGTGCACACACACACACACACACACACCTCTTTGGTGTTGATGACTCATAAGCAAAGACATCCATGTACCTAAGTAATTGGAGCTCATTCATCTTTCCAAGTTCCAATTAGACAAGTTGAGAACTGGAGCACCAGGGTCCAAATTCAGGAAGGGACAATTCAAGGAGCAGAGGAATCATTTGGTCACTCAAAGGATGCAGACTTGAGCTGCCATAGGCTTCCTCCTGCTTTTGATATGGACTTATTTTGTTCAGTGTGATAAATCATATGTCTCATGAAAGAAAGTTTTGGTGGTCACTTTTGTGGTCTACCAAGAATCACTGGCTCCATGGTCTGAACAGGGTAATCAATCAAGCCCAAATGAGAATCCTTTTTCTTGGGCAGGAAAATGGGGCTAGGAAACTCCTGCTTGTTAAGATGTATAACTGAAGCAATGGCTGGCTTTGGACACTAGGCTCACACAGGTGGTCATCAGTAGGGCTGGCGCCAGAAGCCAGGTTCCCTGCCTTCTAAAAGCATTATTTCACCAGAAAATACTGTCATATCAACCTCCCACAGCTGAGTGTTTGTGCCTTTTAAAAGAAGTATGTTTTCTGCAAAAATATTTCCTTCAAAACAAAAGAATGTGTCAATTATAAGGCTTTTTCTTAGCAATGTGCAGTTTAATCCAATAAAAACACACCCCAAAAGTTACATAGACTCTTTTCCTTATAATTATAACCAGAAAGTGTCAAGCTTCAAAACAAATGCAAAACAAAAGTGAAAACCCAAACAAAAATACAACCTGCTCTGTTTTCAGAGATATGAAAAATTTATGTCTCACTTGAATACTGAAGGATTTAGATCATCTGTTT